GTGTTAGCCTTATATTCTTTTGAGTCCATTTTGGCACCTAAATATGGTTGTTCTCATAGTCATCATTTGTCTACATTGAAATATCCATTTGCATAGGCTAATGTATGCCAATTGCTCTGAGGCCTTAATAATGCTAGCAAACTACTACAAAGGAATATATACATTTAATTTTCTTTAAATAAATATAGTTGTGTGAGTAGTAAAATGCTTTTTTGGTAAACCTATGAAGCCGGTGTTACCACAGATCTGTGGATTGATATCAAACTGACACTGAAAACAGTAAATATATTCAGAAATATGTACCTTCCACTTTGGTAGTTGATTCGTTGGAATTAGAGAGATTCTTGATGACCACATAAAACCTTTTTACTGTTAGGAAAAAAGCATTCAATCTCATTGAGGGGATAGTATGTAACATGGCATTTGAGAAGAAAATAAGATAGGCTAAAGTCTCACACAATGATAGAAATGACAATTTTTTGATTAACAAATTGTCAGCATGGGGCACATTCCTTCAATTTTCAGCAATTTGAGATCCTTACGTTAATCAGCTTTTGTAGAATGCCACCCACTGTTCATACAGCAGCTAGTAAGGCAGTAATGAAAAATTGTAGAACCAGCATTAGATCAGAGATCATGCTGACTAGAGTGCCTTTATTTTGTGTGAAGACCTTTATTATTATTATTATTATTTAGGAATTGGTCAAAACATGCCGTGTCCTCCTTAAATGACTCTGTGAGTGCTTTCTCTCAGGACAATAAATGGTGCTAATAAGTTGGCAGGCCTCCCACCAACTAGACCTTTGATATATTTTGTGTGAGCACATTAATATGAAATCAGAATTATGGAAAAACAGGGAGTATTTCCCTGCTCATAATTGTCTTTTTATGTAATGCAAAATCAATCAAACTATCATGTTGCTCCCAGGAAACCTGAACCACTTATAAAATAATGACTTTTGTTTTTATAAATTGGTTTAATTTTTCCATTTCTTTATTGCTTATTAGTTTCCTACAACATGCAAGGCACTGCAGGGGCTAAATAGATGCGTGGGCAGAGCCCTGCTGTGAAAGAGCTCACGGTATCCTCATACACGCTATTGTTTGGTCCTCATGTTTTTACTTCCTCTGTATTCTTGGTCTGTTGAATAAACATGACAATATTCTTCATGTGTGAATGTGACACTGATCACTCCTTGTCTGTTAGCTATCACTTTGTGCTTTTTTCTAGGATTGAGGATAAGGACTGCTGGTGTGCTTAATCTCTCTTGGTACCAAACTCTAGACATTTTCAGAAACATTTCTAAGGCTAATTAGTATATAGACTGTCACCCAGAAGGAGAACAGAATATATTGACTGATGCAGGACTGGGTATTGTGATCTTTGCAATTTTTTTATTGGCTCAATCCGTGAGTAGTTCCATAAAGCGAATGAGACTGTGAAGTGGAATTTCAATCATCTGTGATTCAAAGAAAAGGGAGCCAACCTGCGGATTGTTCTCAGTAGAGTGGCTGAGTATATGGTGATGGAAACCTCAAACAGGAGGTCTTAAGTTGGGTTTGATGACTGTGCTTCAAAGGGTATAGGAACTTCCTGAGATTGTAAGTAACATTTTATATTTAACAAGCTGTGTGTTTTCTTGAGGAGATAGTCTATAGCTCTCATTGGACTCTCTGAGACAAACAGAATTCCCAAAAAAGTTGCAAACTATTGGCCTAGGTCAGTAGTTGGTGAATTTTTTTTTTCTGGAAAGCACCAGATAGTAAATATTTTAGGCTTGGAAGAAAATATGGCCTCTGTAAACAAATGGGTGTGGCTGTGTTCCAGTTCAATATTTTGTTTGTTTCGTTTTTTTTTTTTTCTCTTACAAAAACATGGTAACCTGCAGGCTGTAGTCCTCTGACTTCTGGTTTAGGCTATGATTTGGTAGCATGAACTTTCAAAATACTGTGCTTATACAAGTTTTCCCTTTATGAAAATCATATCTAATATAATAAATTTTATTTATTTTTGTTTTTCCTGTCTTATTGAAGTATAATTTACATGGATTAAAATGAACAAATCTTAGGTGTACTACTCAATGAATTTTTGCATGCATATACATCATATAACCTACATCAAGATATATTTCATCACTCCAGAAAGCACCCTAAAGTTCCTCTTTAGCTATAATCTCCCTCTCCCTAGAAGTAACCATTCTTTACTCTTCATCACCATAGCTTAGTCTTACTGTTTCTTGAACTTCATTTAAATGAGATTATGAAACAGTGTGTATTTTTTGTGTGTCTTTGGCTTCTTTCCCTCAACATAATGTTTTTGAGGTTCACTTGTGTTTTTGAACACATAGATTTATAATACAGACATCTAGGTTCTGTATATTGTTGTTACTCAAGACCCCACTTAACTAGAAAGAATTTGTTGGTCCTTTTGGTGTTTATAGTGCTATATTAGGGGCCACGAGGAGATGTAGGAAAATTCCTGTCTCTATCTTCTCACCACTTGGAGTTAAACCACAAACATAGAAACTGCAATTCAAGAACTCTTAGTTACAAATAACATCAACAAATTGAAGCATGAACTCTGAGTACACTTTCTCATTGGAGAATTTAAAGGTTTAAATGTATTCTTAACAAATGAGGGCTCTTGTTTCTCTTTACTTTTAGATCAGTAGAAACAAATTTGGTTTTATATTACCATTGCCCCATAAAATTGCGAAGAAATTTCTAATGTCCTTTGGTCCAGTGCTTCTCAAACTTTTATGTGCATGTGAATTACCTGGAAGTCTTGTTAAAATGCAGATTATAATTCAGGTGGTCTGAGTTGTGGCCTGAGAATCTGCATATATGGCAAGTTTTCATATGGTGCTGATGCTGCTGGCAAATGGGAAACATGTTTGAAATAGCAGGGGTCTCATATAGTAATCGTTACTGATGTGTTTTAGACCAGGGACGGCATCCAAGGGAAGTGGCAGTGAAAACTCAGGGAGAAGTAGAATATCTGTGAGTTGAAATGGAGGGAAGTTGCTGAGAAACTGGAATAGTACATGAGGAACAAAAGATACTAAGGATGATGCTTAGAGGTTGGCTTTATGAAATTAGACAAATAGCAGTAGCTCTGGATACCTCTCCAGATCACTATCTACCTCTGGATTGCTTCTGGCCCTGGGTCTTTTGCAGCCACAGGAACTTACAGATTTGGATTCCTACTGGAGCAACATCTATTTCCCATTATTTCTATGTTGAAACTTAAATGATCTGAACATGCTTTGTTCCTGTATTGGGTTTATGGTGGATTTTTTTTCTTAAGAAATGCTGCCTTCTCTATACCATAATATTTACCTAATTTGTTCTCATGATGCTACCTAACCACTTCTGCTTTTATGTATTAAATTTTGGCATAACATATGCTTTTATATTGTTAACACATGTAGAACCTATAGTCTTCAAATGGAAGATTTAGGGACTCATTAACACAATTGCTTCTGACTATTCCATATAACAAGCACAGCCTAAATCAGTAGTAGCAGGTTGTACTGCACTTTTGCCTCTGACACCCTTTGTACCCATCTCTATAATTCCAGAGCTGTTTTTAGATGCTCACATAAACAAATGTAAGACTTTTCATTACAAAGTCTTTCTAACTGCTATCTTTTAAAAAATTGAGTGTATTTGAAAAATGCCTTGCATCAAGACAGTTATCTGGAGGCCCTGATGAGGTGAAAGCATGGCTCTGGTGAAGTAGCTAGAAAAGTAGTTGTAAGCTGGAAGAAAAAGAAGTCAAGATTTAAATAAGGGATGCCCTAGTTAGTAATTTCAGGGTTATGACAAAGTTCAAGGCCATACTAATGGAATAGGTGGCTGATGGCGGTGCAGAGAAGAAGATCGTAAGAGAGCAGGAGGTCAAGAACACAAGGTCCAGGTGTTAGATGGGCCATCCACTTGGTTACTAAAGTCATCGAGGATATTGGTAGGATTTGGGTAGGGAGACTGTGCCCATGCTAAAGTCTTTCATAAATGGTGGCAATTGAGGGATAAGGGAAGTTGATGTGTGACTACAAGGGTGACAAATAATAGCTAAGAGGAAATTGGAGAGGCTGTCATGTATCATGTGATAGGAGGAGATCATTGTTGGCAAGTGATGGTGGGGCACAGAGAAGACAAAAAGTCTCCATCCAGATGTTGAGCTCCGTGGCAGTGAGAGAATGAAGAGTCTCCATTTGTGAGGCATGGACAGGGGAGGGGTCTCCCTTAAGGCAAGACAGAGGGATTAGGCATAGAAACAGATTAACTTCACAGAGAATTTTACTGTATGGAACAGTATTTACACAGAGCTGAGCTCAAGGGTTTTTGATGGGTTTAGAGGGATGGGCTGGGTCAAGGGCCCATAAGTACCAATAGAGGTATAAGGGTGGAAGAGAAAATGGATGGCCAGAGATTCATACTTTGGGTATACTGAAATATGCATATAATGAAAATGCATAATGGGTTCTCAGTTAACCTCTTCGAGGAGAGTAGGCAATAGGCCCATGTACAGATGACTTCTCTTAGATGATGTTAGTTCCAACGACTATAATTTCTGCAATCACTTGGCCTCAGCTGGTGTTCTTCAAGGCTGCAACCCTGCAGTTAAGGCATGAGTTGGTGTAAAATCCTTATTGTTATTCAGCCTTATAATCAAAATTCCTGACTATGATTAGGTTCACCTTTTACACCCTAGCATCACACATGCTTGCAATAAATTGACTGGGATCTATGATAATGCAATCATACACTTTTGTAGTGTTTACAGGCTTTGAAACAGTTTTCAAGGTACTTTCAAGCACCTTAACCCATATAATGCCTTGCATTTTCTTTTTATAAACACAAAGCTTTTTTCTTAGGGTTTACTCATAATTATGAGAAAACTCCAGCTGAGAAAAGAGAATTTTATTTTGGGTTAATTTCAGTTAAATTAATTGTTTTGTAAAGTGGAAATGAAGAAACACATTGAGGGGGATTAAGATTTGAAAAATAAACTTGAGGAGTGAGAGGCAAGGTGTACCCCTCGTCAGTTTTCAGAACCCTGAATGGGTCAAGTTGAAGTTAACTTCATTCAGCAGGTGGGTGTCTATATTGTTCTCCAGGCTTGATGATGGCTTTCACTCTTCTTTCATTTTTAACATAACTGTCCTCAGCGCAGGAGACTATTCTCTCATTTAGCTTCGTGACTCTTCAATATTGAAGGGAAGTGGCAGATATTGTGACTATCTGGCTGTTAATGCAAAGCTCCACTTGGTCTTGAAAGTAGCAAAAAGAAATAGAGCATGAAGTGTGGAAACTTACTCTTACTCAAGCTCAAGCTTGAATCAGCTACATAACCCCTATTAAACCTTAAACTACACAGACAGGACTCGCTGCCCTCCAGAAAACAGAAGTGATAGATGTGAGAGGCACTGGGACTTTCTTTTCTTGGCCAGGGTCCATGAGGTTCTTTCCACAGGCCATCTTTACTCTGTTCTGGGTCCCAGGAAGTGGGGAGGGTGGGAAGAGTAGGTTCTTGGTACTCAGGGCTTAATCCCTGTGGTTGGCCTGTGGCCATGCTGCTGCCTGGGCTCTGTCCCCTCCAGGTGACTGGCCCAGGCTGAGTTCCCCTTGGTAGGTGGGCTCTGGAGGAGAGAACCCCATTCCAGCCTTGAGGAAGGCAAGTATCATGACCCTTCCAGTAGGTAAGGGTATCAGCCTAGCCACAGGGAATTCCTTGGCTTGATCCCTCTCTGCCTCCACATCCAGGGAAATAGCTCTCAATTTTTTAATTTAATTTTTGTTTGAAATAAAGTCCTTAGTTAGCTAAAAAAATAAATAAATAGAAAAAGAAGAAAAGTATACAGAGTTAAATGAGGGATTTGACAGCTGATGCCATCTACAAGAATGTAATTATTTGGGAGATATAGAGTTGTCTAGTCAGATGAAACAAAGAATTTCCCAGGATTTGTTACTGAGATTTTCTTGTTCTGGGAAGAAAAAGGAAATAATTCCTTTTAGTTTGCATGGACTGATACCACCAAGTATATTTGTACAGATTCATCCTCTCTCATTTTCTCCAGCAGACCTTGATTATTAAATGCTTTGTCATTACATACAGACAGCATTTTGAGGAAAGGGTCTCTTATGTTGTTCATCTCCGTTTATTGCACAGACCGGCTCAGTGTTTCTTGCAATCCTTTTCAGTGGCTTTACAGATATCATGAAAGGAAGGCTCTCCAAGAATCACCTCGTTTGTAATTTCCTCTATTGATTGGCTTAGAATTATGGTTTATGGGTTCTTTTTTGTTTTGAGGGGGTTGTTGTTTTAAAGATTCTTATTTTTTTCAAACAAGAATAATGAATTCGGGGAAAGAGTTTGCTCAAACCAAAACGTTGGTTGCTTTATGGAAAATTTAAGGAAATGCTTATGTAAATCCAATGCTTACATTGTGCTTAAACAAAAGTCTGTTGGTAATATTAATATCAATATATATTTTCCTTTTCCTTCTGTTGGTAAGTCTTCCAGGAATTTTCACACCAAGATTTCTGAGTGTAGTCTGCAGAGGATTCTTTCATCAACTTGGCACAGATAGAAATATCATCTTGACCTTGTTTCTGAAGGATGTTTTAACCTTACTAATTAAGCAACCTCCACTGCTATTCAGTGAAGCTCTCTTGAGAGTGAAGAGCCTTTGATTTGGGAAATTTCCTAATTGGATAGGACCTCTCATCATAAACCAGTCATAACATGTTGATTATAGTTTTACCATTAGGAATTCCATTGCTTAACACAAATGGATTATAACAAGAATTTGATTAACCTAAGTCAATTTTGGCCTGGAGGTACTTGGAACCATTGACAAGATCAAGTTACCTTAGCAATCCAGGAGTCCAAGGAAAGAGGCCTTTGATTCATGATAGAAAAAAAAATGTACTATAGAGTTTGCATTTTTATGTAATAGCAATTTTCCAATAATGGCTAAAGTCTAATGCTCCTTTTCTCTCTCTCAACTTGTATTTAAAAAAATTTTTTTTGTTGTTATAAAAATATTCAGTACTCAAAATTGTATAAAGAATTCCCGAGATCCCTGGGTGGCTCATGGGATCCCTGGGTGGCTCAGCGGTTTAGCACCTTCCTTCAGCCTAGGGTGTGATCCTGGAGTCCTGGGATCGAGTCCCACGTCAGGCTCCTTGCATGGAGCCTGCTTCTCCCTCTGCCTGTCTCTCTGCCTCTCTCTCTGTGTGTGCATGTCTCTCATGAATAAATAAAATCTTAAAAAAAAAAGAATTCCCAGGTACCCATCATTCAGCCTCAATGGTACCAATATTTTGTGAATCTTGTGTCGTCAATCTCCTCTACTTCTGTGTTTTCTGGGGTGATTTAAAGCAAATCCCAGATACATTATTTTACCCATAAACACTTTAGTATTTGCCTCTGACAATCTATTTGTATGTTGTTAAAATAACTATAAATGCTAAAACTTACATTAGTGCTTTATGGTTTTAAAGTGTCTTATCTCATTAAGTTACAACAATCATTTGTTATATATTACTATTACTATTTAAAAAAAACACAGAGGTTTTTGAGTGTTGATGACATTCTCAAGGGCCACTGAATAGTGACACTGGGTTTTAAACTTGGGTCTCCTACAAATACTCAGTTCAGTTTTGTACTTCCCATGTATATGACCACATCAAGTAAAAGCCTTATTCCTTGGGTATTCAACTTCACCTGTTCTGCACAGAGGCTCCCTTCTTTTGGTCTTGTCATACCTGAGAATCATCTAAAGAACGCTGAGAGTAGCCAGAGAAAAGTGGTCATTGGAGATAGGTCTTTTTATTTTGATGTTTTGACATCTGGGGTCTTGGTGGCCCTGGAGAGACTGCTGTTTCCAGGGCTCCAGTTCCCAGAAAGAGTAAAGGACTTACCTGCAAGTGTGGTTTTCATATGCAAACCAACCAATCCAAAGCCCATAACACCCTACCCACCTTCTTTACTTTGTTCTTACACTCCAGGCCCAATCACTGCAGGGCTAGGTATCAGACAACTAGGGAGAGCCCCTGTACCCTAAAGCCCACCAAAATTATCCAAACTAACTAATCCTAAACCTGCTTACCCTGCCTCACCCCTTCCTTCCCATGGAAACCACATAAAGGCTCTGTTGTTTCCCCATGTAGTCCAGTGTCATGTGGTGTGCCCCACCTCTTAGGAACTGTTGGTCTATTGGCCTCCTTCTATTTGGATGATAATAAAACCTACATTTTATTAAAGATTTTATTTATTTATTTGAGAGAGAGCGAGAGAGCATGAGCAGCGGGGAGGGGCAGAGGGAGAAGCAGTCTCTCCACTGAGCAGGGAGCCCGACTTGGGGCCTGATTCCAGGATCTCAGGATTATGACCCAAGCCAAAGGCAGACACCCAACCAAGTGAGGCACCCAGGTGCCCTTAAAACTTATATTTTAAAACAAGATGGTGAAAGTTGAGTAAAATCTCTTGAGACTAATATCAAGGCCTTTCTAAGATCAGCCAAGCTTAGCTAGAAGCAGGTGAGGGTTCAGGGTCAGGTATCAGATCGGAGAGAATAGCCATCAGCACTGGCAATGAGCTCAAACACAGATGAACAACATCATAGTTGAATGGCAACAGGCAATCATTACCTTGCTGTCTTCCCGAGGTGGGTTGAATTCCAGGAGGAATTATATTCTTTCTTAGGTATGAATGTCATCTCAAATGCATTTTCTTAAGGATGAGGAAGGCAGCATTTCTTTGCACCCTGATGTTGATGTGTCCCCAGTATTTCTTTCCTCAGGCTACCATTCCCGCTGGTCCTGCCTATCCCATTTTCCCTTGCAATAGCCAACAGGGAAGGACTGTATCTGAGGTTTTCAGTACCCGACTCTACTTCAAATGTCTCTTCTCTGAGATTCTAGTTCTCAAGCTAATGCTTGCATATCCAGCTCAGTGTCTACTTCAGGTAGAATTTTAGATCAGGCACCATAGACTTCTCTAAATTTACTATCTTCATTTTACAGATTAGGAAACTGAGCTTTGGAGAGGTAAAGGACTGGTTTTAAGAAAACAAGCTGCAAAAAAAGTAGAGGCCTTTGCCACATTCCCTTACTACAGCTGGTAATTTTCAGTAAAATTTGACTTCTATTCACTATAGATCAGATCTCAGCATAACAAGTTCTAGCGGACTACTAGTTGGCCATAGCACAATTGATATAATAAATATTTATTTAGATAACTGGGAAATGACTTTCTTATGAAAAAATGTTCTTATAATCATTTATATCACATTTCATTCTAATTCTGATACTGTCATATGCTAGATTTTTCTGACTTTTGCTTCCATCTATACAAATATACTCACAAACTCCACTAACACCCAACATAAACACACCCCATGTCTGAACACTCACTCTCCTTTTGCCCTTTTATTTTTTAAAGATTTTATCCATTTATTCATGAGAGACACAAAGAGAGGCAGAGACATGGGCAGAGGGAGAAGCAGGCTCCTCGCAGGGACCTTAATGCGAAACTCGATCCCAGGACCCTGGGATCCTGCCTTCAGCTGAATGCAGACATTCAACCACTGAACCACCCAGGTGCCCCAGAATAGAAGTATTTGGCTGCCTTGCTCTTACTGCCAAGAGTGTAGGTTCCCTGGCTTTAAAATATCTACACCTGCAGACCCTGAACATTGGGAAAGTCCCCAAGCTTTCTGAGGCCTGCCTGGTCAGGAGCCTGGAGTTATGAGAAATAACTACACCTAATGTTGCTGGCCTCAAAATGGTGAGACTTCTTGGACCCAGACTTGTAATGAAGTCTCTATGTTCCTATGTTTCCAGAACATAAAACTAGTAGTGCTTCTATAGCTTTCCAACCTCATTATGAAGTAATGTGGCAAGATGTGCACTTAAGAAGGGGAAAGAATCCCATAGTATCAGGATAGAAAAGGTTTGGATATCAGATTATTTTTTCTATTCAAAACAATACATTAAACTGGAGAAGCAAATATGATTTCCTTAAGGAAACAGCGCCATGCAGTTATAGAGCAGACGACAGACTTAAAAGTCAACCCATTAACTGGATCTTTTGCCACTTCTGTAACTGAACCAATATTTACAGTAATTCAATAAAACTCTTGAACAAACAAGAGATAATGATGATAGTTATCATTTATTGAGCCCCTCCCATATTCCAGGAACTGTACAAGGCATTTGTTACATGCATTATTTCATTAGCTTCCCATCTTATCTTCCCTGTGGG